ATTTCTGCCTCAGAAACAGGCTCAGTTTACACCAAACAAGTTATTTCTCTAATTTATCAGACTTGCCAGCTATCATTCTAATTATTGGAAACTTCAGGCTTTTTATGAAGTCAGACGGACAGCGTATTTGCATGGTCATACCGTACCACTGGATAAATAGGTCTTGAGGAAATAAAGGGTTTCGAGAAAGGAATCTGCAGGTTTGGTTACAGCTGGGGGGTAAAGACGCTACCACTGAAAAAAAAAAAAGCAGTTCTGGATTTAATTTTCTTTCAAAAAACGCCACTTCCGACACAACGTAACAGAAAGTCAATGAGAGAGGAGGAGGCTGCGATGGAGGGCTCATCAAAAGCCTCCCATTGGCTTCCACTGGTGCTGGGTCAGGCCTTCATTCTGTCTCCTCGCTCGCACAGCAGAGCAGCACAGAACCAAGCTAACACCCAGCGGCCGCCTGGGCTGGAGGAGCAGTCAGAGCCATCAGACAGGCTGCTCACCTCCCCTCGGCAGCACAAACACTGATTTGTCCATTATATGTAAATGGATGATTAGAGTCATTCTCTAAGACAAATTTACTTTTCTGCACACTCTAAATCTGTTTAGTCACTTTAAAGGTGTCAATTATTGGAGCACGCAAAGACTATGAATTTCTTAGTAATAGCTTTAATAACGTTTTGAAATGAAAAGCAGATACCTTGAAGTTGGCTTACTTTGAAAAGACATATGAGTAGATCTGGTTTTAATTTATGTCCTATTCTACATCTGGAATCCCTTATAATTAAAACTAAAAGCTGGACTACTACTTCCACCTGTCAAATGATGAAAAGATGAATGCACTAATAGCTTACTAAATAGCCCAACATGATAGAGTTTACTTTCCCGTTCCATACAGTAAAAAGGGATTTTGGACAGGAGGCTAAAGGTCTTTGGTCATTACTAATAGCACGCTTTCAGTATTAACCTACATACCCCACTATCACCACCACCAGTGCCTTTTAGCACGGAGATCTCCAGGCTGCAGTTTGCATTTTGCTCAGATGTGTGTACTGAGCTCTGCTGCTGCAGTGTTTCCAGCCTTCCCAACCCACACGTTGTCTGCCGCGTAGCTTTTCTCTCCTATCACTATTTTCATCCACTCCACACTTCGCTTCATGGAGTTACAAAATAACTGTGTGTTAGAAGGGACCCTTCAAGACCCTCTGGTCCCACATCCAGCAATGCACAGGGACACCCACAGCTCCATCAGTGCTCAGAGCCCGTCCACTGACCTCGGCTGTCTGCAGGGATGGGACATCCACCACCACTCTGGGCAACCTGTGCTGTGCCTCACCATCCTTACTGTAAAAAAAAACTCATCCTTATATCCAATCTAAATCTCTCCTTTAGTTCATTTTGATTGCCAGCCAAACTGTCCACTCAAGTTTCTGAAGCACTCGTATCCCAAATGACAGCTTTCCCGTTGATGTGAGCAGTCCCACGGCATGTGACAACGCAAACCCTGTTTTTGCACCTTCTCGTGCCTTTCCTTACGATCCCACCCTCTCCTCTTCCTGTTGATTCACCTCTCACGTCTTACTACACTGCCTCACTCGGAGCATTTCATGCAAAAACAGGCCCTCAAAAGATCTGCAGGGCTTCGGAATACAGACCCAATATAAAAAATTATTGGATTAACAGAGGGAGGAATTCATTTGCAATGCTACACATTGATGGAATCACAGAATCCCAGCGTGGCCTGGGTTGCACAGGAGCACAGTGCTCATCCAGCTCCAACCCCTGCTGTGTGCAGGTCGCCAACCAGCAGCCCAGGCTGCCCAGAGCCACATCCAGCCTGGCCTTGAATGCCTGCAGGGATGGGGCATCCACAGCCTCCTTGGGCAACCTGTGCCAGTGCCTCACCACCCTCTGGCTGAAAAACTTCCTCCTCATATCCAATCCAAACCTCCCCTGTCTCAGTTTGAAACCATTCCCCCTCATGCATAGTATTCAAGCAGAAGTTTTAGCTCAGATGGAGAGTTACAAAGAAAGCTGTCCCAAATATTACAAATGCGCAGCACTCGACTTCTTACGTCAAAGCCAAGAGTAATGTTTCAACTGCTCCAGCAAGGAGGAAATGATGCAGGTATTAAACATTATTACGAGAACAGAGACACATTAATTACTGTTTATCCACCAGGACTGTGAATGGAGCTTTTTGTTGTGAAGGATTTTCATGGGGAAAGTTAATATACTTCGTCCAGACCATGAGATGGTACAAATCAGTGTAGTTCCATCTAAATCAATGGATCAGTGTTGATTTACAGCAGCTGAGGATCAACTCCCTCTTTTTCGGTCTGCTGAGGATTGTATAACATACACAGCCTAGAAACACCGATGACAAATTTGAAACCGTGTAAGGATATGCTGAACCAAAAGCCTGATTCAAACCCAAACTGGCCGCTCTCCTTTTAAATCACGGAGAGCTGCTGTCTGAAGTGGCGCTGTCAGACGAGCGCTGTGAGACATGCAGCACGGCGCAGCGCTGCACCTCCACACACTGCATTCCATGCAAACTCAAACCCGCCCAGCGCCGATTCATAAATGATGTGTTGGTTTAATCTATTTTTCACAGGGGGTGTTGCAGAGAAGGAAAATTAGAAACAGGTAGAAGGGACTATTATTACTGTCTCATAGTGTGCTCTCGTACATGAGGATCGGATTAAGATAACATCTGGTCCGTATTTCTTGAACTATTTCCCTTTTATCACAAGAAAATCGGCAACCCATCTCACAACTGCTCCTAATTTAGATCTAAATATCACTGATGAAACGTTGTACAACATGCTGTTATCTATTAAAATGATTTCCCTGAAGGAACAGTGAATACTTTTATACTTTCCAGCGAAGCCAACCATATTCCCCCCTTAGCACTAACTGGTCGCCTTATAATCAAATACTCAAATGGTAAAAGCAAAATCACTTTGGAAAAACAAGTGAGTCCCTCCTAAGTCTTCAGCCGATGCAAATTCTGCCTATCCACTGGTTGAAGTGAAACGATGCCCATCGGCACCACTTTCTGTCGGATAAAGGCTTTTCATTTAGCAGAGGCTGTCAGGTTAGGATGGGATGGCTGGGTTGGACTCGATGATCTTTAAGGTCTTTTCCAACCCGAGCAATTCTATGATTCTGTGATTCCTGCATGGTACAAACCTGCACTGTGCTACGTATCTCCTGCACTCACTGGTTTGAAGAGGAGCTGCTTAAAATTAAAGCGAGGCTGGGATGCATGATTTATCAAGAGGAGCAGAGGGACAGCGAAGAGCCCTGTGGTTTCTTTGGGAAGCAGAGCACGGCAAACTGTCCTCCCTCCCGTTTGGTTCAAACAGAATTGTCAGTGGAATGCAGTAATCTTTTTTTCAGCACTTTGCAGAGTTCAAGTCCCCAGAAAGGAGCCTATTGAGTTCAGCAAATAAAAACTTCTGTTTTCTTCGCGAGTCTATAATTCATTTTCATGGACAGTAAATCAGGAAAAGGAGGAAAAAAAAACCTTTTGCAATCTCAAACTGTTTTGCATACCTTCACTGCACATCAGTTTTACCCATTTGCATTGTATCCTCACCACTTAAAAAGGGGGATTAGATAAGCATACACTCTCTGTATTAACTGGTTTAATTTAAAAGTAATTTCTACCATCTGGAATTACTGTTTACTGTTGTTTGGAGGAGGAAGAAAAAAAAAAGAGAGAATCTGAAACCGTAGAAGAGATCATCACAGAATAATCAGTTTGAAGGAGGGAGAAGCATACAAGGAATGTAATGGATTGTCCACCAGTCGACTTGTATGTTTTGGAGGGAACTCTGAGAATAAAACCTCTCTAGCAGTTATCGCCGGTCACACTGGAGCCATTCATTTTTCACCTGCCTGTGGTTGTTGTCTGGCAACCAGTCAAGGGTGCTATTAGCAGAATTAAGCTCCAGAAGAAAGGATTACCCTGTAGGAGGTAAGATAAAGACGGGGCAGCGTGGCTTGTTATCAGTATCACAGTGAGGACCAGGTCAGTGTGGGTTTCATTTCAAACAGGTAATCTCTACTGAAATAATAGAGTAATTGTTGCTTTGAAACCTTTATGTGCTGCAGCACACTACAGCTCATTTGATACAGATTCTGGATTTAATGAAGAACTCCAACGGGCCCAAAACAGACACACGGAGAAAGGAAAAAGCAATGCACCAGTGGAAAATGCCTTTATCCTCTAATTCCGGGTCAAAACAGTGAAACACAAAATGCTACTCAGGGCAGTTTTATACCTTGATTTATGCCTCTCCTCCTTCTCAGGTTCCTACCTGCCTACCAAGTTTTGGTCTGTGAACATGCAGTAACGGCATACAAAATATTTCAAGCGTAATAACATATGCAGTTATGTGCATCTCACAAAGCCTGCACACAAGCAATGAATCAAAGAATTCCAGGCTATTCCTTGAAATACAACTGTTCCTGAGTTTTATTCAAGGGCCTGAAAGATGTCAGTGGCACAGGCTGCAGGGGGAGGATGCATGTTGCAGCTGATGCTGATGGGCAGCATTTCACGTTTTTCTGGCAAAGTGCCGAAATGTTTGTCTTGAAAAGTAATTGTGGAGCAGTCTTTTCCTTTTCTCTTTGTAAGGCACCTTTCCTCAGTCTCTTCTACTAGAAATGTACATTAAGTGCTTGGAGATTAATCTACTGCTCGTGTTGTGGATGCTCCATCCCTGGAGGTGCCAAAGGCCAGGCTGCACGGGGCTCTGGGCAGCCCCATCTGGTAGAGGGCATTCAGCCCATGGAAGGGGTGAAACTGGATGGTATTTAAGTTCCTCTCCAACTTCAGCTGTTTTGTGATTCTGTGATACTACAATATCATTTGCAGAAAGTGCTAACTAGAGAAATACTTCAACTTCTAAGTTGGGAAATACAAAAGATGAGCTGGCAAACACTACCAAAGTACAAAGAAATTAAGGGAAGGAGTTGTCTCATCTATGGTCTCTTACCTTAAGGCACTCTGGGTATTCCAAAATGTGAAGGCTTCACTCCGGTGTGGACACTGCCAGTTGTGCACGAGCTCTCAAAGCCATGACACAAGGCAAGGCCTGATGGAGGCAGGTCAAGGCTGTAGCATCTTCTACTGGAGCCACTCCGAGTTCTGGATGTCAGTTAGGCAGGGTTCTTCCACATGGCGATGGTCCTCTGGCTTCCATAGCCCTCAAACAATCTGCAGATGATATATATGAAAAAAGGGTCAACACAGCATCAATTCCAGATAAGACTATTATAAAATCATGATGACATGCCACCAGTTACAAAACCAAAGTCTCACAAGGCATCGATCCTCTTGATGTAATGGAATACAGGTCTTACAAAGCTTTACCTGTTTTAGCGATTATGGATTAATTCAGCAAAAAGCAGTGGAGTTGACAAAGTAAATAAGAAAAATATTCACAAAATGTTGTTTTAAACAAGACATTATAAAAAGTGATTCAGCACTCAGCCTGTGGCTCAAATATGGGCAAGCAGCAGCTGCATGTGGGAAATCAAAGGGGCAAAGAATGTAGTCTGAGAGCTCCAAGGAGTACAGCACAGGGATACATCTCTCTGTGGTCTGAGCCATTCAACAACGTTATCAGAGTTCAGAAGAAGAGAGTGCTGATGCTGATAAAGATTGCAGATGGCACAAGGCTCGGTGGAGGGATGGACAGCAGTATAAAGATGTCGATTCTTCAGGCTTCTCTCATTTGTCTAGACATATGTTTTGTACAGTTGGATGCAAGGTCATCCACCCATCCACCCCTTCAGAATGCACGATGCAGACAGATCATCACTTTTAGACTGCTTTTAATATTGAATCATCAACATTTTGCAGTGGTGAGCGCTACAGAAAACACACTGAATGATCGGCAGGTGCAATGCAGACACTCAGTAGAAGCCAGCAGCAGTGACAGACGTGGCATACATTGTCCCATTTGCCCCTCTATGCCTCCTACTCACATTCTTTGCACCATCTATCTGCACTAAATTAGGGCTGTCAGAACTGCAAAGCCAAAGGGCTCAGAACTCAGTACTTCTGCATTACTCCCACTGTCAAATGCAATCTCAGCTATAGAGAAATTGGTCTTTAAGGAAATTATTTTCTGGTCCTGAGACAGCAAGAAAACAAGAATGAGAGGCTGGCTTGGCATTAAGAGCTGTTTGGTTCCTGCTTGGGATATATTAGCTCTGATTTTGCCTCCTTAGCAAAGGCCAATCACTTCAGTTAGTCCAAACCTGTCCCAGTGGAAGTATTCACACAGTTTGCACCACCAAAAGACAACACTGTCTGGTTCTAAATCCAGGGAGGAGAAAGGCACCAGCCACAAAGGAAGCCCAGCATTCCCATCCTTTTAAGTTGACTGCTGAAACAATTATTTGCTTGTGCCTTGCATTTTGCTAAACTACCCCAATTATTCTTTTTGCTTCTGTGATGCCTTGGAGGCAATGAAATTGCTGCATAGGTCAAAGAAATATGGAAAGCTCCTCATTCATAACAAAACTTAAATTCTGAAACGATGACTGCAGTGAGTCCACTGGGGAGCATATGGGCTTGCCTACAGAAAGATCATGGCAGATTTGAGCATATGAGCTGGGGGGCTGATCCTGCTAACACCTCATACCGGGCATAGAGCCAGGTGCACAGATATTCAAACTAAATCCTAATTAAGTGTCTGAATTCCCAGTGAAATCCATGGGCAGTTGGATGCCAAAATATCAACATGGATATTGATCCAGCTGCTTATCAGTCTGAGCAGCATCCTGCTGATTCCTGGAGCAGGTGATGGCATTTGCTGTTTTATCCCAATATATCTTCTTTTTGCTTTACATGTGAGAAAAGCGAGCTCCGAGGATGACTGCATTATCATTAAGTGGGCACGTGCTAGAACCTCCTCCAAGGAAAAGAAGGGCTCATATCTCAATGTGAACCCAAGCTTGAGAAACGCAGGGGGGAAATCAGCACATCAGAGAACCCTCAAGGCCTGAAAGTGTCAGAGTCCACATCTTATAAAGCCTTGTGAAATAGCCCTTCAAGAAATGCACACAGCCTGAAACATAATGACCAGCTCCACCCTTTTTGCCACATTACCATTGAAATGAGCTGATAAAAAATGTTTGGCGACCAAGCCAATATAAAAACATTCTGATTTCACACCAAAGGCATGCTCAGCTTCTAACAGGAACAAAGAATCCCGCACCTCTCTTAGATCATATCTTTGCTGCCCACTCAGTGTAAATGATTGATATAACAGACGTGTTGAATCAAGATGCTGGTTCATTCTTTTCCTTTTTTAAGCAGCCACTTTCAGCCAACGGATTCTTTTCCCCCAGAATATCTGTGATTCCTCAGATTCTTTGAGGTTATTGCATTCATAATCGGAGGAGCTGCCTGAGCACAGAGCTGCAGCACAACACTTTCTCCCCTCTGCAGGAGCTCCCTGGGTCAGAGGCACACGCTGCTGCGATCAAGTCAGCCTGAGAAAGCAGGAACACTGTGGTGGGCAGAAGAGCCCAAAGCAGGGAGACAGAAGGGAAAACACTCATGTCCCTGTTATTTCTTTAACAGATAAGGGCCTCAGCTAGATCCCACTGAAGTCAGCGATGCAGTTCCTGTCAGGTCCAACAGAAGCAATCTCTGAGAGCGTGTTTTCTTGCCAGCTATCTAAGCAATATGGCTGAGCCCCACAGAAAGTAATCCTTCACTACCTCCTAACCCATACAGCTCCTCAGAAAAGCCAACCTTCTTTAAAAGAACAACTTAAAAGAACGCCTCAGGATGCAGAGCCCCACTCATGTTGCTCCTGGTACTTTCCTCCTCCTTGCCTGCTAGGCATTATTAGTGGGGATTCTCAGATATGAGACATACCTTTAAAGAAAGCAGCCCCTTTTCCATGTTGTATTTACATGAGTTGTCACTGTTTCTACTCATACCAAGAGGGTAAAGGGAGTCTGCAGAATCATGACTTGAAAGTTACATGCCTCTGCAGCATGTAAAATGCAGCATGTAGCAGTGGAAAGAGCTACACAACTTGTGCAGACCATGGGGAGATGTTCACAAGCTACTGTTTTTCAACTTTTGATTAAAGCATCCCCTATATTCTGACATCCTGGCTCTGCCCCCTCATAGTCCTAAACACAGGGAGCCACACTGAAGCTCTCTGCGCTTGACCACACGAGCATGTGCATCAGTTGGCCTCTTGAGTTGGTGCTGAAAGAGCCACTGCTGAGATACAGCTCAGAGCACGCGGATGTTCTGAGTTTCCTCAAGGGGAGCTTTAGATTAGACATCCAGGGGGATGAGAGGGGACTGAGGCCCTGGCACTGCTGCCCAGAGGACTGTGGGTGCCCCATTCCTGGAGGTGCCCAATGCCATGGATGGGACTCTGGGTAGCCTGAGCTGGTGCCTGATTCAGTGATGGGTGATCCTACCACCAGTCCCAGATGATCTTTCAGGTCCTTTCCAACCCAACCACTGTGATTCTGTGATTCTCCACTGCCAACTGAGAAGGACAGCTTTCAGCTCCAAAATACCACGAGCCAACATTGCCAGTACAGCAGTTAAACTGACAACTCCTGATAAACAGTTACTGACATTTACTGTTCACCCATGCAGTGCCTTCCTATTGCACCTTATGGCACTGAGCAAGGTTGCTCACCTGCACGCATACTTAAGTGTGTGACTTCTGCTGGTTTGGTGTGGATGGAGACATGGGTGGATGTGCTGTCAATGAGGGTGGATGGATGAGTCGTAGGAGAGGCTGTGAGAGTTCACTGCAATTTTGAAATGCTAGATGTTGATGAAAAGCAGGTTTTTAAGTTAGAAAAATCATTTCTGATCCACAGTTTTTTTGTGTACAGACTCATGTTCTAACTAAAAATACTTTGCTCCAGGGATGCTGTTTGTTTTCTACTGCTGTCAGTGCAAGCAGCCTGGATCTACAGAATCTGGACAGATATTATAACCAAACTATTCTGAGAAAACAAATCTTAAAAACAATATATGTGATGCAGCTGTTTAGTGGCTCCCCAGGGCTTAGTGGCTCTTGCTGCCAGCTCTCAGCTCTTTTTGCTTTAAGCCGGGAGGGCCCAAGTCTTTAGATTACCTTATAGAGTATATATGTCCCTCTCCTCTCTGTGCTGTCACCCTAAAAGGCTCTAACAAGGCTCCTGCTCCACATTCTCATTCTCAGGAAGGTCTGTTAACGTTTTTGCCTCCTTTTGATCTTCCGGGCCTTCTCTCAACACTTCTCACAGCCTCCTGAAAATGGGATTCTCCAAGTCAGTAATTTGCTTATTGTCTCCCTAGTGTAAACTTCAACGGTTTTCATCAAGGAAGCTACTGCCTTGCCTGCTCTTTTCACACCTCCTCTTGGATTCCATTTTTAAGAATCATTCCCCCACCTGAAACGAACACTAGCACCTGTCTGTCTATTGCTCAGCGACTCAGTTGTGTATGGGTATTATGGGATTTGTGCCTGATAGCTCCTTTCCCTTTCACTGTTCAGTTTAACTATACCAAGAAGCAGCAGCTGACAGCAGAATTTACACATGAAGTGATACTCAAGGGTGCGATAGTAGAGAAGACCTCCTGTACTCACAGAATCCCACAGGACCCACATGGGGTCCATGCCTTTGGCCCTCGTTGCAGGATGGGAGCCTAAACAAACCATCTCACATAGTAAGAAAATACTCCTCAACCTATTATGTTCCCCCCAGCACCACCACCCCCCCAGCCCGTTAAAATAGCACAGTATTCTGTTCCACAAAGGACTGTAATTTGTATGGAATGCCAAGCACTTGGGAAGCACAAGGGGACACGGAGCGGGGAGGGCTCATCCCATAGACACTCTGTCCCTTTCAAACCATGGGAATACAGCCTGCCTCCCTCGATGTGTACTGCAGCCTTGAGAGACGAACGCTGATCTTAGCCTGAACAAAAATTAAAAGAAGATGTTTCCAAAATGGCACAGCTCCTCCCTAGCCCAGAATCTTTCCCTTAGGACAATGAAGCTTTTTATAGGTTACATACAAACAAAGAACATGGAAGATAGAATCATAGAATCCTTAGAGTTGGAAGAGGCCTTTAAAGGCCATCCAGTCCAACTCCCCTGCAGTGCACTGGGTCACCACAGCTCCACTGGGTTGCCCAGGACCTGATCCAGCCTTGCCTTGAAAGTCTCCAGGGATGGGGCATCAACCATCTCTGGGCAACCTGTGCCAGTTTACTCTTGATCCACAAACGAAATCTAATTACTGCTCAGCCGTATGGAACAGAGAGCATCTCAGCCCTAGGGACATTAGGCTCTAAGTAGTGCCTGCTGCTGCCTAGGACTCTTCCTTCAGTGCCATGCAGGAAGACTGAAGAAATAAGATGGACTAAATCTCCCTGACTTAGACCTCAACTACTACCTGCAGGGTAACCATTGTGAATGTCTGGTTCAAGGTTTCCTGATGCTTTCCTCTTGTTTCACACTATTTTAGCAGTCTGAACTAGTTTTAATATAAGCAAAACTAGTTTATTATAAAGGATAAAATTCTTGTTCTGAAGAGAGGTGCTGTGTCTGCTTTCGGCTTTTCTGATTGTGGTGACAGTGGGCACAGGGAGAAGTTGCCATGGTTCTGCATGGATTTTCTTTGCCTTCTGCTGACTGTTTTTTTGGGGGTTGAAACCCTCCTGCTTTCACACAGTTTCACTCATATTATCTTCCTCTTTCTTACAGTGGAGTGCTAATAGCATTAGCTAAACCACATCACTCATGCTTCTCCTGTGGAGCCCTGACTGCAGCTGGGAGGTTGGGTGGGCAGTGGGGAATGGCAGCCTTTCCAGTTACTGAAGGCCAAATGCCACAAGGACCACAGACCAGAAGCCCAAGATAGCTATAAGCAATGACCTCGATTTAAAACCTGGATGTAGATCCTACACAGAACTGTGTCTTTCTGCTTCCATCCTTGCTGGATTATAAGAAAATCTCCTGCTGAACTATTAGTAATTTGCACAAAGACTGAGGAATGAAAAAGCCTCCACCCCAAGGACTCAGAAATAAGTACATGACTAGAAAAGCAAAAATGCCAAAATCAGTCGTGGTGTCTTCTGTTACTCATTGTATCTCCACTATCAGAAGAACTTCCAAGAAAGCTGCACATCCCCAATCCTTCCATTTCCAAATCCACATCCAGCTATAACACAAGGCAGGATCTGCAGGGTGTGCATTGCAATACTGTGCTGTGATCTTTGAAACAGGTCAGAATCTTCTGAGATGAGCTCTGACTGAGGAAATTGACCATTCACACCCTCAGTGCAATTCACTCCACCTGTGGGAAAATATTTGTTCCAACTGAAAAAGAAATGAGTTCCTTTTATCCTTCTTGCTGGTGAGTTGGCTCAGCTTCTACCACGCAGTCAGGCAAGCACACGAGTGGCTGCAGCAGAAGGAATGGACCCACTTAGGTGCTTAAGGAAGAGCAACAGAACTGCCCCTTCCAATTCAAGTGAGCTGCTGGACTGGTTCACCTTTATCATGTACATTCCCTCCTGGTCCCTATGAAGAGAGTCCATGTACAGATGACCTGAAGTACCACCCAGAGGAATGGCTTAAGACTGCACTTCAATCTTTTGCCTAATAGGGATGGAGTTGAAGCATCTCTGTGGGATGAGGCCATGGTATCTATGCCTTAATTTGCTCTTGCCAAAAGGTCAGTTTAGATGGACCCAAAGGGAGGACTGCATTATGCATCTCGTTTGAAACAGAAATCTTACTTTCCCCTTGAATACAGGCATTTTGCTCTTCTGACTAGGCACACCTGTTTTCTCAACTAACTCAAATCCTTGCAGCCACGTGTGCCCAGGGGAAGGAGGGAGTGTAATAAATAGCAGAAGCAAATAATTTACCCAGTAAAGAGCATTCCATGCTTTCTGTATGCAAATTCTGCATAAAAATTCTACATATATGGTACAGAACTGCTCTGAACTGAACTCTAAAAATGCTTAAGGCAAACACAGCTGTTATCAAGTGTTGTTCTTTCCAAAACGCCATTCAGTTTGATAGTTATCTCTATGCCAACAGCATTCTCCATTCAAATCTCTTTTTTGAGGTCTTAACAACTGCTTTACACAGGAGAAATTCGCCCCGAAAGTCGGTGCTCTGGATCTGTACCCAAATGTGTGTCTGTCCCTTCTTATGACACCAAGGCAGCCCAAATTAATTCCAGCAGATCCTGGCCAAAGAGGCTGAGACAACTGAGGTTTTTAGGAACTGCAGCTATTTTTAATTTGAGGACATACTTTGTAACATCCCTGTTCAGCAAAATATTTTAGTGCCTTCGAGTATGTACTGAAATCTCACCGGTGTCAGAAGACACATGATATATGATGTTCAAACCCAAGTATCTGGTAAAATCTGCTGAAGTGCCTGGAACTGAAATAACACCCTATTCAAATACCAGCTTTTGAGAGCTGGGTTAGATCAGAGTTGTACTTCAATCGACTGTTGTTTTTTTCTTCATCCAGCTATAAAGGACTGCTTTTAAGAATCAGAAGTCTTTTAAACTCACAATTCTACAAAACTAAAGGGGAAAGCACTTCACGCATGCTTCCTTGAGGGGGCTGGTCATAGAATCTCTGTGCACATCGAGTTCTGGAGAAAACATCTAAAATAACCCAGCAGCTGGCATTTGTAAATGTCATACAGACAGTAAGGTCAGCTCCCCAGCTGAGGTCTACTTAGTTCAAATCAGGACCTGAACTGTTGATTACTGAATATGATTTAGAACCATAGAATCACCAAGGGTGCAAAAGACTTCCAAGATCATCCAGACCAACCGTCCACCTACCACCAATAGCCCCCCACTAAGCTACATCCCTTAGTACAACATCCAGACACGTCTTGAACACATCCAGTATTATATGCATGTGTGTTATTGAATGTGTATTATTTACTATTATATGCATGCGTGTGATTTAAAAATCCTGGGCTGGAATGATCTCATCCATCACCCCAAGTGCCTACAAGAGGGACAGGAACTCACTGCCCCTTTGCATCCCTGCATTTCCTTCCCTCCTGCCAAAGTGATTCCTGAGGAGGAAGCAGAGCTGGCAGCCTTGTCTGGGCTGCCTCTCTTCGTCCCTTTCAGGTGGGTGGATCTTTCGGGGTCATCCTCCCAGCACCAAGCAGCACTGCTGGGCTAATGAGGTGGAGCAGGTCATCAGCACACACAACAGAATGGGGACAATCCTCCTTCCGCTCTGAAGCAAAGGCAAGTGCTGCAGCGTGTCTCAGTGCAGTGTAGCACACCTACTGCTGAGCCCCAGGAGAAGGGAATTCACAGAGTGCCTTGGGAACACAAAGCAACATCATCATGGTAAAGCCCAACCTTACAACTGGAATCCCATCTTCAGAAAGTGAAGTAATGGATCCTCTGTGCAACGTCAAAGCACTCTGCACAGCTCTCCCTCATTAGCTCACCAAGCAGCAACAGCAGGGAAAAGTTGGGGGTTACTGATGCGTTGTAATTACTGACTGACAGCCTGTCACTGGGCAAAGCAGAGGAAAAGTCTCTAATTAATGCAGGCCAGTTACTTTCCTCTCTGAATGCTTCCTTTCCTGAAGCACGAGGTGGAGCTATGGTAGGGAAGCCCAATTCGAGACCTGATGGCTATTTCCATCTCTGCATCTCTGTCATCAGTTGTAATCTAAAGAGGTTTGACTTCATCTGGGCACAAATACAGCTTTGAGAAGAGCAGAAAACAAAGGCAGATGGGCCTGTCCACTAGCAACGAGGTTATTAACCCTGGATCCTAATAGTGAGCACACTGATAATCACAATGAAGGAGTCCTGGCAGCAGGCTGAGCTCCAGGATACTGCTGCCTTCAGTATCTCACAAGGAGACTGTGTAGAGCACATCCTCAGGGTCTTTAGGGGTTCTATGATGGTTTTTTGAATTCTCATGTGGTTAGCATCAGCTTTAAGGATATGCTGGCAGTACTGCCTTTCCACAGTAGTGCAGTTTCCCATCAGCAATGAAGATGGGCAGAGGGTTTTCAGCTCTACATTGGATGTGACAAATCTCTGTCCCTCCTTCAAAAAAGCCATCCTTTTGCCTCTAATAGTTCAGGGGAAGGAGGAAGTTGGTAGAGAAACACCTTTCCTCAATAGGCATGTTCAAATGACTGCACAGGAACTCTCACACACTCTCCCAGAGGAATCACATGAAAAAGCAGGGTCAGAGAAAGAAAAAAATGAGTGAAAATGTCACAGAGAAAGGAGGAAGCATGAAATCTTCATCCTGAGTGTTCAGTTATACCTGATATTGTAAACACGGGAAGAGCCTTGCAAGAATTAGGAGGAGGAACAGACTGAGAATTACTACTGCCTCAAAGCAGACAGATTTCAGAGGTCAAAGACAGTCCTCAAGATGTCAGAGCTGACAGACAGTCCTGTCTGAGGATGCCACGAAGGAATCTGATTAAGACAATCTGCAAGAGACAAAAGAAAGATAACAGAACAGTTTATCATTTTCCAGGAATGAAAGCAACATCATTGAATGAACGTGGAACGATTCCACGCTCAGAAAGGACTTCAGTTACAGCCCATGTTGACATCCATGACATCAGACCAGGCACCATTCTGGAGCTCATGACAGGCTTCAGAAAACGGTTTTTAAATGACCTTTTCAGAAAACTTTCCAAGCAAGTTTTCCTGGCTTGGAACAGTAAGTGAAAGTTTAGCTAGGTAAGCAAACTGTGAAGGAGGGGAGACTTGGTTTTGTTGAACACTGAAACTATTACAGGGAGGAGGGTTTCAGTTTTACACAGAGGGTTAACAGCCTCTTGGAAGAGAAGCTGGGATTCTTCAAACTAGCTGTGTCCTGGGAGGCTAAAAATGAGATAATGGTGATAGGAATGCCTAAATGTGTGTGTAATCTCTAATTGGACAAGATTTGATTAGCAAACAGCACTACAATTCAAGGCATTATCTGGCCTAAGGATACCTCACTACTCCTCTGCTGGAGATTATCAAACCACAGCTTGGCCAGTAAGAGATGCCATTTCTAATGCAGCCAGACTGGTCAGGAAATTTCAGGGAGTGGTTATGTGGTATCTCTAAGCCAATCTCACAGCAAACTGTCAGCAAAAAGGCTGGCTCACCCTGCTGGCTTTTTCATCCTGTGCTGTCTTACCCTTCTGCATGTGTATGGTGAGCTTCTCCAAGGAATTCAGAGTGCTGTTACACAAGCCAGCAATTTAGCTGCTTAAGGCAGACCTGACTGTACAGCAGGGGGGCAGAATTACCTCTTTCAGTAGAAGGGCAAGACGCTCCATCAGCTCAATTGTATCACATCTTCAGTTCCTTCCAAGAGGAGGAACACCATGATGCAGATAGTCTGAACCACCTTCTAGAGATTTCTCCCTAATTAATAGAAGAAACCTAATGTGATTGCATCTTAACCCTAAGAAAAAGAGTAATTATCAGTGTTTCTACCTTCCCCAAGCTGTCTCATTCCAAAGCCTGATGACTACTAAAGCATATGGGAAGAAGGGAGCAGAAAGAACAGAGGATAATGTGATACTAAGGCAGTTCTGATTCGGAGACTAAAAATGCTGAGGACACACAATTTAATCTGGCAGATGAGCAGTTACACAGTCTATACTTCTCACAGAGCTTGGGAAAAGCAATGTACATTAATGTCATGAGGAGTAGTTGAGGATAACAATGTCTTAAACTGGGCATACAAGACAACATCTAAAGGTACTTTAAGTGTTGTGGTCTGGGAGATACCAAGCCTAAAAACCTCTGTGTTAAAGTAATAAGGAGGTGTTAGAGACCCTTTTTTTCTTTTTTCATATCCATAAGTAATACAGATATAGCTGAAACCTGGGGTAAGTCACTCAATCTGAAGGTTAAAGTCAGTGATTAATCTCCTTCTGTAAAGACAGAAGGATAAAACAGAAAGGACTTGTTCCTTTGCAAAGACACTTACCTGCTAGGTGGTCAGAGGTCATACGGAAATACACATCCGAATGCTTACAAACTTCTAAGTGAGCAGAAATGTGTCTGTTCAGGCTCCTTCAGGTTATCATCAGGCTGAGACAACTGGTTTCAAGCCTCTGTCTGTGATGGATAGAAAGAGGAGGTGAGACTTCTATTGGAGTAACCAGTAAGGTCTGTTGTGCTTTGAAGGAGGCTGGAATATCCCCCAAGTATTCAAAGAAAGACTACAGAAATACTCAGCTATCAAAAAGCACAGCTCACTGTACGAAGCTGAAGAGATGGCTGCAACGAGAAGAGAGCCGACGGCCAGGAACGTCTCAGTTTAACAGAAGTACATCACAATCCTGCAGCTGGATGGCGTGGAGCCATATGGATTCAACTCTAAGCTAAGAGTTAATTTCCTTGTTATAAGCATTATCCGATATTGGACCACCTCAGCTAAGGATGTGGCTGCCTTAGTTCTCCTTAACAGGTACAGTTCTAACAGAATGCTTTAACCTGGCTTCCACAGAGCACCGCACAGCCTTTGGCAACAGGAGGAGGCCAGCGGGTGATCGGTGCTCCCTTCCACCCCGACAGCCTGTGTGCAGGCAGGAGTACTGCTTTAAAACAGATAAACAAAGATGCTCTTGCAAAGCCAAAGTGTGAAGTGATCTGGTTGATGTGGTCTGATACAACAGATTTTGTTTGTAGGCTGAACTCACAGACTTCATCAGCTGCCCAAGAGCCCCATGGAAACACACTGATGCTCACCCCTTCAAGACCACTGCTTAAAAACAACTGACATACGAGTCACTGCTAAGAAGCAGACCAAGAGCCATTAACCTTTGTGCAGAGTAGTTAAAATACAAGGTTTACAGACATGGATTCACATATACAAAGCATATATGGACTGGACGATCATTATGGTCCTTCTCAACCCAGGCCATCCTATGGTTCTATGGTACGTAAAACTCCACTCCTTCAACAGCAAAGAACAATCCTTGGAGAAAATAAGTGGTAAGGAGCAGCTGCTCACAAATAACACTCTTTTAGCTTCATAAAGACTTTTCTACAGTCACCAATTATTTCCATCGTATTGAATTTGTGACCAACAGAGCCTAAAGGCATCAGCAGCTAGCAGCCCGTTTCCACAAGCTCCACCTCACCAGGCCCATTCTGCACCTCCCTGGGCAACTTTTCAGGGTCGGCAAACTGAAAAGTTTGGAAGCTTGTAGGTTCAGCTTTCAGGAGCCAACAGCTACTCTTGGATGCCTTCATTTCCAATAGCTTTCTTCTGATTTTGTTTTTAGAGATGATAAATCAGTAAAGATCCTCAAAGTTTCCTGAAAGCTACACTCCTCTAAAGAATCTTACAGTAAAAAATGAAAAACAACAATTAATTTCATTATCCCAGCTAATTGTCTTTGGGTTTTTTTCCTTTCCTTCCTTCCTCCCTCTCCTTTAACAGAATCCTAGAACGGCCTGGGTTGCACAGGAGCACAGTGCTCATCCAGCTCCAACCCCTGCTGTGTGCAGGTCGCCAACCAGCAGCCCAGGCTGCCCAGAGCCACATCCAGCCTGGCCTTGAATGCCTGCAGGGATGGGGCATCCACAGCCTCCTTGGGCAACCTGTGCCAGTGCCTCTCCACCCTCTGGCTGAAAAACTTCCTCCTCATATCCAACCCAAACCTCCCCTGTCTCACTTTAAAACCATTCCCCTTGTCCTATCGCTATCCATCCTCACAGACAGCCATTCCTCCTCCTGTTTATATTGTTCCTTTCCCTTTTCTTCACTTTTTCTAACAGAATAAATCAGAAAAGCTCTCATATCACACTTCACAAATTCTTTAAGAAGAAGGCAGATGGCCCCAAAAAGCAAAAGTAGAAACAATCTCCAACAACTGTCTCATCTTAGGGCAGACACGTCTGCACTGTCAGCTGTTCTGCAGACAGGCAAGTTTGCTACACACACAATGCTCCTTGTGGGCTCCCAGCCTATAGTACAGCTCCTGAGTGTGGATTTTGATGGGTCAAAGCCATTTTATTGAATTAGCCCTTTATTGTTTACATTAAATCCAAGTGAGCTCACAAATACTGACTTATCCTTCTGAAAGGCTGGATTATACCGCGTGGCTCGGATGCAAAAAAAGATTAGGGTTTTGTACTAATTACTTCCAGCATGATGTGTGCATGGACCAGAAGACCACTGAAGATATTCTGCTGAGCATTTCAGTGCAGCAATGCTTGCCATCTTTTCTTGCCTAAGGATGGCTGCTTCTCCATAGCATAAATTTGAAGGGTCACACAGTCATTAAAACTCATGTATGAGATCAGCTATGGCTGGGACAGAGGGTAGTAACAGCTCTTTCCACACAGAATAGTAGAATAATTCAGGTTGGAAAACACCTCTGAGATGCCCAGCCCCAGCCCACCCCATCCTGCCCACTGCCCACATCCCTCAGTGCCACATCCCCACATTGTGGAACACCTCCAGGTGACCCCATGCTCCTGGGCAGCTGTGCCACTGCAGCATCACTCCTTTGAAGAAGAAATGTTTCCTAACACCCAACCTGACTCACCCCTGGCACAACTTGAGGCCATTCCCTCTGTCCTATCACTGTTAACCAGCTGCAGAGGCCTGCCCACACCTCCTCACCACCTCCTTTCAGGCAGTTGTGGAGGGCTATAAAGTCTCCCCTGAGCCCCTTCTCCACACTGACCCACCTCAGCTCCCTCAGACGTGTGCTCCAGAGCCCTCACAGCTCTGTTCCCCACAAACTCCAGGGCCTCAATGTCTTTCTAGCTGAACACAGCACTTGAGGCACCTCCTAATGTTTCCAGCTGTTTCACCTGCTCTCCCAAAGTCACTGTTGCTGCAAAGTGCACTGTAGCATCACTTCCTATTCCATATCACCCAGAAAGAGAACAAAAATCTAGTACCTAGTTATTACTAAGTGCATTCTGATTAGTCTGTACTTAATCAGTGAAGCCATCCATCAGCAGGCACAGCTTCTCAGACTACAAACCCCATGGTGCTGCCAGCAGCCTGAAAAATTGGAGTTGAATATAGATGTGAAGATGTGGGAGACAAGATGTGAGGGATCTCTGTCATTGCTGCAAACCACCAGCACTGCAGAATCACAGAATTGCTCAGTTTGGAAAAGACCTTAAGGATCATCGAGTCCAACCACAGCCCAACCATCCTACCCCAACTCTAAGAACATCACATCCCTGAGCACCACATCCAAACGGTTTGTAAGCACATCCAGGGATGGTGACTCAACCACCTCCCTGGCAGCCCATGGCAGTGCTTCACAGCCCTTTCTGCAAAGAAGTGCTTCCTGATATCCAACCTAAACCTCCCCTGCTGCAACTTGAGGCCATTTCCCCTCGTCCTGTTCACCTGTTCACCAATGAGGAGAGACCAGCCCCGCTCTGCTGCAATCACCTTTCAGATATTGGAAGACAGCAGTCAGGTCTCCCTTCAGCCTCC